TCAGTTTCCAAGTTTAACCGGATCATCAGCAGCTCCTTCTGCTGCTCAAAAGTCAGCCCCGACATGGGTGCAGACACAGGTGTTGCCACACCTGCCACGTCCGACAAATACTCCTCCATCCTCAAAACACCACTTTCCACTAAAGCGGACAGAACAACAGCTTTCACCTCAGCCTTAAGTTTGATATTAGTCACATCGATTGTATAATGCTCGGCTATCTGTAGCAACTGTTCTTTAGTACAGCCATTAATGAACACCTCAGAGGGCGCATCAAAAAAACCCGACAAGGAAGACATAGACCAAACAGAACGCACCGTATTCCCCCTCAAACGCACACAAACGAAGGCAACTTGCCCCGCGGAGTATTCCCCCTAACTGCCTAGTCCAAACTCTTACTAAACTCACCTAGTCTTCATGCAGCTTGCGGTGGGTAATTACGCACTGGAAACCAGCAGGTCTGAGAAGTCACCCACAAGTAGGCCACAACGCAGGATCCCACGGACGTGCTCCCGAGACAACCGTCCATAGCAGCTGACACTAACCACGTTGCCACAACGCTACAAAAAAACCCCTGACGTAACCCAAAGGGGAGAAGCCACTATAACCTGACAGGGAAACTCCAAACACAGCGCATCAGGGCGGCAACACGTACTTTCTCTTTGGACCACGCGCAATCGACTTCGCGAAAAAGAGAAAAAAAACTCCAAAACCAGTGAGACAGCAAGACAGCGCTTAGTTTGGAGACGGTGAAGGCTCCGAAGAGAGAGAGTGACCGTCTCTCTCTCTCTCTCTCCTCGTTCTTTCAGTTAAACTTGCAGCTCTGCTACAGGAGCAGATCACTTTAACTTTACATGCCGGTCACATCGTCTCTAAACACTCCGCTCACAGTGAAGTCCTGCGCGGAAGTTTTCACCAACACCGCGAAACATTTTGGCACAGAGGGAAAAAAAGTCCGCGAGTGACAGTACAATTACATTATGGAAGTAACTTGCCAACACTGTCAGCACCGACTTCGCCTCAGGCAACATCGCAACAAGCGAGTGAATCGGAAGTGAACTGACCGTTATGCCATGACGACTTTTGGGGATTGCCTCATTGGGCCGGTTCAAGTAGTGGGGGGCAGATGGGCCGGGGGGCCAGTCAAAGGGGGATGGTGGGCCGGAGTCGGCCCGCGGGCCGTAGTTTGGTGACCAATGCTCTAAAGGTTTCTTCCCTTTATTCTCCCCATCAAATACTTTTCCATTGTTTGGGGAGTTTTTCCTGTGCCGATGTAAGGGTTTCTGGACAGAGGATGTCACATGTGTACAGACTGTAAAGATCTCTGAGGCAAATTTGCAATATTGTGCGATACAAAATTAAATCAAATGAATCATATAATCATGACAAAAACTGACACCACCCCCCTGCGAGGCTACAAGCCCGACAAAGTATCGCATACAAGTTAACGTTATGCATGTTGGTTAAATGTAACGGCTCATTTAAGTGCCTCGTCACTCTAATCAATCAGATTATATTTCTTTAAATGTGCCTTCTGGCAGGAGACTTCATTGATGATTGTCATCCAATGAGAATAATTTGATTTGATTTGATTTGAAGCATTTTATTATATTTATGATCTCAACTCTTTCAGAGTATGTAGATGAAAACAAGCCCAAAGAATCAAATTGATACGAATGAATAGGATATATGTACTGTATCATCTTATGTATCATTAGATTAGATTAGATTCAACTTTATTGTCATTGCACACAAGTCCTAAAAGTACTGAGGCAACGGAATGCAGTTTAGAATCCAACTAGAAGTGCAAAATAGCAGAACGTGCAGAGTATGTGCATATGTAAAGTGTAATAAGTGAATAAATAGATATGTACAGTAAGAAATAGATATGCAATATGAACAGTAAGAAATGGATATGCAATATGATCAGTAAGCGGTATTGTAGGTATAAGTACAATTAATACAGTAAAATAAAAACATTCTGGTGTAATGTTCAGTGGCTGGAGGAGGGTGTGGCAGTCAAGCTAGGGTGGAGGGGGGAAGTACAGTCACTGAGGGAGATGTGTGTGTGGGTAAGGGCAGAGTTCAGTAGAATGACAGCCGCAGGGATGAAGCTGTTCCTGAACCTGCTGGTCCGGGAACAGAGCACCCTGTAGCGTCTCCCATATGTATGTATAGATGACCATATAAACGTTCTAGGAGTTTTATTATATGTGTGTGAACGTGAGGGTCATTATATATCCATTGCTCATAATCAGACATTTGATCAATTGAAGCAGTGAACATGCAGCGGCGACATGCAGTGGCTTTCCAGATGTTCTCTGCATCGCAACACCGTACAGACATGGACAGTATGAGAGACAGTGTCACTGTGCGAGACATGAGAGTGTGTGTGGGACAGTATGTGGGACAGTGGATGTTCGGCTGCAGCGTGTGGTGCTCATCACGTAATGTAACGGGGAAATCTTCTTGTAAATGAATGATTCCTTGTCCTCAGCATCTGTAGCGCTTGTACAGGACGTCATCGTGGCTTAACGGGTATTTGTGATCTCGGAGAAGTCTCTCCCTATAAAACGTTAATCTAACTGATATTCATCAATGAGGAAGTGAGCTTCCCTTTTTTTCCGGGGGAGAGATGAACTAATCCAGCAGCTCAAACCTCCGCCGAAGCAGGTTCAAGTTTTTCGATGTGTTGCTATGGTGATTTAGACAAATCTGCTTCGGGGAACCGAAAAGCCTGATCTACGTCATCTCATCCTGAAAACGTACGAGGAACAGGGCCCTGGGTTCCATCATATCCCAGGCTGAAAAAAAAACTAACACAGATTTAGTGTTTTAGTGCAGAAGTCTGCATCTGTGTTTGAAAAATTTCATCAGGAAATAAGATGTCAGATCTCATCACAGGCGGTTGTGGCTCTGTGCGCTCTGCAGGAGTCTGCACTTCTTTGATGGAGTCCGGTGTGACCTGCGGCGCATCAAACAAGTCATTTTCCCAAATGAAGAAGAGAGCCGTGTTATTATTATTTAATGTGAATTCACTTGTCAGCGTCTGTGCATGGCGTCTGTGTGGAACCACAAACCACTTATTTGCAGGTGGAGGGACTGCGTGCACAGGTGTGGTTTGGCTTAGTTAGGGCTGAAGCCCCCTCATTATTGGCTTAAAAAAATCAAATCTTTTTTTTTTCATTTTTATTTTGGTGATGTCATTGAATTGGAATAGTGTTTATCACATGGACAAGTTATTTATAACTCTAACATGCTAAATATGTGCGTGCACATATTTGTATATTGTATGTATATATATGGCAACATCCCCCCCCCCTCGGGGCTAAGCTCTGCTTGAAATGCCCCTCACTGCGTGTATGAATGCGGTGGAGGCTTTGGCCGGAGCAGTGCAGGTGGGAGTCCTCATGTCAGATCTTTTGTCCATTAATGGTGCTGCATCAGGATTAGGAAATGTTAAAACGAGTGCCGCGGCTCTCTTTCTCTCTGAGGATCGGATACCGATCTCTGATTGAGGTACCAGAACGTCCATATTTGGCTTTGAGAAGCTTTCATCACAGTGGCTGTTTACTTTTCGGACTGGGCTTCGCCAATGTGTCCTGGGACTGTGCAACGTCCTCTTTAAAGCTACTTAGAGAAGTTATTTGTGTCTGTTAGGGATGCATTGATTGATTGAGAGACACCTGGTCACCGGTTGGACACCCGTGTTTAATTAATAATTGATAAAGACATAAATGAATAATTAGCTGTATATTTCATTGTGTGGAACAGACTGGGAATATTCTTCTATTTCTAATGCATCACCAGACTTGACTGAGACATTGCTTTGAGAAGAAAAATATAACAAATGGACTAAACACAGTAAATATACATTTACTTAATAGTTGTTCATTATTTGAATAATAAATATACACTGGTGTTTGTGTATATATACGTGTAACACTCTATTAATGCACCAACACATTTGTCAAAGCAGGAATTAGAAGGCTAGTATATAAACTATATATAATTTGAACATGGACTTGAATTGAATAGTGGATAACATTATTGCATCACATCCGTCTCCGTGCCGTTGGCGCGGTGACATGCAGACGCTTGGGGCTGCGGGGATGACATGCCGCTGAGACTGCTACCTGCACTTGTATAATAACAGTGACAGCGATGGCTGAGTCGGCTTGGCTCAGTTATGCCGCAGATCTTAACGATGTTGCAGGATGTTTTTATTCTCCCTCCGGCTGCATTGGAGGTCCTCGTGTGCAATCCGCTGATTTCAATTCTGAAAAATGCTCAAACTCAATTAGCTCAGCAGAAATCCAGTTGCATTTCATTATCATGTCGGAATGTTATTAAGTTTGAGTTTGAATGGCATTTAATGATACAAACATGAACCTTGGCTTTGTTGCCAGACCACATGCTGGTGGTTGGGCTCAGGGCTGCTCCATATTAGAAACAAAATTTGAGTTTATGCTATGTATCCCCTCCTTTTTATTTGTTATATTTAAGCAAAAAGGCCTCACAGCTTTGCTTTCTAACTCAGAAGAAGAGCGTTCGGTGCTCTACTTCTAATGTCTCACTGATTGCTGTCAGGTCCTGCTGCGTTGGACGGATGCAGGCACTCATTCCTGGTCTTCCATTTTTAATCATACTATTTAGTTTAGTTATTACCCATCCCCGGCTCCAGCTGCTGGGTCACACAAACAGCTGCCACACAAACGCACACACACTGCAGAAGGCTCCAGACATATAAATATATTGTTATTGTATATGTATAAATATATAGATATAGAAAAACAACCACAGCCAACATTTGTCCATGTCTATTCTAAAATCAATCACACAAACCCACCTGACTCCACCTGGTCCTCCTCGCAGCTAAACGCATTATTCACACTTCTCATTGGTTGATAACTGATGAATGCATTGGCTATATCTGGATGGAAAGTAAGTACAATACATCTGTTTACTCTCCTTTAATTATGTTTGTGTGTGTGTATTTACAGCACATTTATAGCTGTTGTTCTCGGTCCTTCTGGCAATGAACAAATGTGTTCATGCCTGTTTTGATTCTACGCTGGAGTGCTTTGAGAAGAACATGCTGATGAGCAAGGCAAGGTAAATCTGCTCAGGAAAGACTTTTCAGAAGTGTCAATGTGTGTGTATGTGTGTGCCGTGACCCGTTAAGTGTGAGGGTGAGCGCTGCATGGAGGTTCAACATCCTGATGAACATGGCACCAGCTGAGATACCACCTGGACTATGTAAACCTACCTGGTCTGGGACTCACACACACCCTCTGTCTCCACACAGACACTCGCTCACACACACACACACACACACACACACACACACACACACACACACACACACACACACACACACACACACACACACACACACACGCACTCACTGTCACTCCCAGCTTCTATGCATTCATCAGGAGAGACTTCTGAATTTTTAACAATGATTTATTAAACATGCATAACTATTAGGGCTGTCAATAGATTAAAAAACATTAACTCACATCATTGATCTCACATTTTGAAACTCATTAATTTTTCTATATAAAGACTCAATATAATAAATTAACAAGTAATCCTTTTAGAAAGCGTGTATTTTAAACACTGTTGTTTAATAGATGATCTCCAAGGCTGAATTCCACCAGGTGGAACAGGTTGAACTAGCGACTCATCCTGCTGTGCTCGTGAACTTTGCTCTCAACTCTCTATCATTTGACGGCTGTGTTTGAAGTGCCAACAATCTCCCCACATTTAGCCAAGACGTTTTCCTAACCACTGTCTTTCAGGGCAACAGTGATCCTCTTTTGCCAAAGTGGCAAATGAATTGCTCCAATCCTCTGTTATGCCGGATTTTCCCACTGATTGGAGATGTGGTCATCTAGACTGTGCCTCGCCCAAGCCCCTTGACTGGCCTGCGGCTCAACCCTGAGGGTGGAGAGTCCAAAGGGTGGCTGCTCTAGGTTTTTTCTTTGGAATCCGCCCGACTAGACCCCAAAGGGTGAAAGCCCGGCCACCAGGCGACTTTCCTTCCTGGGCATCGGGAGGATGCCACAGTTTCCCTGCTCCGGGCGAGGCGGATGTGAACCTTGGGCTGCAAAACATCAGTTTTTGAGTTTTTGAACCGCTCTGGGGTCTCCACTGAGGCGGTTTGAGCATCTAGCTAGGATGCCTGCTAGAATACCCAGGACACGCTGGAGGGATTATCTCTCCAAGCTGGCCGGGGAATGCCTCGGGATCCCACAGGATGAGCTGGGAAATGTTGCGGGTGAGAGGGAACACCCCGGATAAGCATGGATGGATGGTGTGGTCGTCATGGCTATGGCGATTTCACACTAATGTTTCAGGTTTAAAATGATGAAGGGATGATATTTTGACACACACGGAGGTAAACTGAAACATGGCTGGCTGGCTGAGGAATAGTACCACTAGGCGCTAAATAAAGTGTGACTAATTCTGAGATAGAGCCGACTCTTTGGGACTAATTTAAGCCATAATGTTCAACAGCCCAATTTTCTGTATTTTGTAAATAAAGTCTGCCTTTGAGTCCTACTTCCGCCACCCTGACGTTAAAAGGGTATTTTTTTTGTCCTTTTTTATTCAGCATTTGTAGCCAACAACTTGTGGTATTTGCCCCCCTCCTGCTCCATTGTGATTGGATGACTGGGGAACAAAAAGTGACTCTGATAGCAGCGTTTTACCCAGAGGGGAACTTCTTCTGTTTCTAGGGCAAATGGAAAAAAATCACCAAGTGTGCAGTGCTCAGTGCAGAATAAACGTGAACCCCTTTCTCAAAACCATAGACTGTTCAGAGGTCAGAGTTTAATTTTGTCTCTCTGTCTCCTAAATGTTCCCATCTTGCCCTGCTCTTCCTTTGCTAGGGGCCATTTCTCCAGTGCGCCCTGTTTTCTCCTGTGTCTCAGTACAAGATTTTATTATGAAATGTTCCTTTTATAACCATTTATCTGGTTGTATTCTCCTGTGTTGACGCTGCTGCTATGTCTGGCCCGCTTGTTCCTGTTGTATTGTTTCGGTCCTCATTAAGATGCTGGATGGTCCTTCCTCTTTTTCTCTGTCTGTCGAGCCATTTCATCTCAGCAAGGCCCCTCTGCCTCGGGACGAACCTCTAAATAATGGATTCATTTAAACCGATGCTGTCGGGTTTGTGAAGGTGAAGATTTTGACTCGTAGTCAAAGTCACATTTCATCCAGCTGAGACTTTGTGCCATCTACAATTCATCTGGCTTGAATTTGAAAACAACCCTTCTAAAGAACAAGCTTTGTCTCAATTCATGGATTGTTATTATGTTACATTAATACAGTATTTCATGTGTTAATTATCAATCTTCTTCCATCACGCTGCTTCACTTGATTGTGAGCTCAATCGATTCTTTCACTCTGGAAAATGTTTTCTGTGCCTTTACTTTTGAGTTAAGTGGGTACTTTTGCTCAAACGACCTGAGCTTCGTCTCGTGGTGGTGCTTCATTGCCGCTCGTGAATCTCCACAGTCTCTGGACACATTAGACATACTAGTGCTGAACAGAATTGACATATCTGTCTATTCTTGATTAAAGGTTCTTGTCTCTCGGACCACTATTCTCTTTTTGGAGAACAACATGTGAACTAACCTCTGACTTAAGTAGTTCTCCGACTCTCCAACTCGAGTCGGAAAGTTTATTGATACTCGTTTTTTGATTGGGCGAGTCGTGTCACCTAATGGGATTTACAACGCATGTTTTTATTGTGACCGAACGAGTGCCGTAACACGCCTGTCTTTGACCAGCGGATAATCTGGTTTAATATGAAGTTTGATCTGAAGTTTTGGTACAGCTACGGCCGATCAATAAAATAATTTGTTGGTGGCTCCAGTGGTGCTTTTTATAGCTTATTAAAGCAATAAGGTACGAGAGGCTGTACTTTATCGTCCAATAATGTAACAGTTCGGGGGCGTTGTTAGGCCCGATGCGAAGCGGAGGCAGATAAAATACTGCCTCAAGTACCTTATTGCTTTTATAATATGGTTACCAGCCAAATTATAAATAGCGATTAAATAGCTGCCTTTCAGCACAAGGAACGTGAAATATAGAGAGACTGACGGGGAAATGATTCTTTATGAAGCAGCATATTGAGGATGTCCCTCGTCTCTGGAACTAAACAAGTTTCCATAATCCTCGTAAATCCATGTCATGAATATTTAAAGTTATCAGTCAAAAATACCAGTTACCCTGGTCGGGGACAGGGTTTATGACATGTTGTGATTAATTAAATATGTGTGTAATTTCTTATCCGTGATTTGTCAGATTATATACCATTGGTAGATTCAAATTCAGCGATGTCCAGTCAGAGAGACTTCCCTCAAGCAAAGCACATCATAGAACATCACAGTAAATAGTAAACAACATTTAAAAGGAACTGGATGATAAATACATGTCCTTTCTTTCATTTTACCTAAAATACTGGCTACGTTAACTAATTTAAATTAGGGCACATTAATCGATGCAATTAATGTGTTGTGACAATTTTAACATTTTAATGTAATGTTAGTTAACGGTTTAAGAAGTTAACGGAAGTAAACCGGAAGTTGGCCGTTAACCGGGAGTTGACCGCGAAAACCAAATGGCCGCCAGGTACAGTCAGTTACAGCAAGACGGTTGCTAAAGATGGAAATCTTTTTGCATTGGAAGTAAAACAAACAGAGGTGTGACACACAGCGGAGAACTGTGCAGAGGAATTACTCCACGTGTCAAACGGAAGGGGAGTGAGTGTCAAACGGACCACTTAAAGCACTGCTAGGCTAAGCTAAGCTAGCTGCTAGGTTAAGCTAAGCTAGCTGCTAGGCTACTTCCATCTCAACATCGCCCCTGCGCGGCACACAGTCTACAGAGGACCAACACTGTGTCCCTATAAGACCTGGTTTAAAAGCGTCCTGGCTGAATGTGGGGAGATTGTTGGCACAAACACAGTCGTTAAATGATGGAAAGTTGAGAGCAAAGAGAACGAGGACAACAGGAAGAGTCGCTAGTTCAACGTGTTTCACCCGGTGAGATTATGCATCCAAAATGATCACATGTGTGTAGTTTTTTGTTTAGAATATCTTAACAATTAAACAACAATGTCTAAAAAACAACATTCATTAACAACAACGTGATTTAATCGTAATTAATGAATGTCAAAATGTGCGTTTTTTTTTAAATAATTTAAATACATAAGTGAATGCTTTTGAAAAGTAGAATAATGTACTTCATTTTAGAAAAATGACCGTGCCCATTTTTTATGTGTGAAGTCAACAAATAAAGCTGCAATATTATTCTTTCTTTTTAATAAGATACATTTATACCGTGTCTTCTATGTGGTTCATCATTGTTACATTTAAGTAGGCTATCATTGATGTGTGAGAGCCCGCACTGATTGAAACTAAAGGCTACTTGGTTATGTTTAGGCAACAAAATGACTTGGTTGTTGTTTGGCTCAAAATAAGTTATTTGTTACTTCTTAACATGTTTGATTAAAATGAGTAGACCTTTTGGTTTCATATCGTACACAGACAATGGCCTCCTGCGTGAAAGTCCTGTGTTATCAGCCTCCTTCCTTCACTTCTGCAGACTAGGATTTGAAATATATTTTTGATATGTCAAGCAGTGTTTCCCCAACCATTATATCAAGGGAGTGCCCAACTACTCATGAATGCGAGAAGGCCTGATAAAGTGAATTTGCATTTTATTGGCAGGTGTGTTATTTACCTAAGGCCCAACCCAATAACCACAGGAATAATAATGCCAATACTGTCCCTTTTAACATGCATCATGTGATCTAATTGTATGGATTCTGCAAAAGAGGAGGAAATATCCCATGAATAATAATTAAATAAAAAGTGCAGATGATCATAGCTCTGCTCCCTTATGAACAGGCCGTAGTTTGAATTATCCATGTAAATCTTCCTCCCTTCTTCTTCCCTTCAGCTGTTAACAATTCAAGGATATTTCAGTCCATTTGCAGCTTCTTTTTCTTGCTGTGCGTTATCCACGCACACTTGGCACCTTAGCGTTTTGGGGACACCAGACCCGAGAGAGAATATGTGACAGAACCATCTGAGCCAATA